CGCTATGAGTCGGAACTGACTCCATGGCACTTAACAACAACAACAAGAGATAATATAAGAATGCTGCTGCTGTTGAGCTAGTTCCGACTCATAGTGACCCTGCACAGAGTTTCTGAGGCTGCAAATCTTTACCGGAGCAGAAGAAAGTCTCATCTTTCTCCCGTGGAATGTTTGGTGGATTCAAACTACTTACCTTACAGTTAGTAGACCAAAGCATAACCCACTACACTACCAGGGATCCTATAAATAAAATAATGTTGCTGTTGTTAAGTGCCACTGAGTCAATTCTGACTCATAGTGACCATGTTCAGGGATTCTGAGCAGCAACTGGTGCAATATGAACCACCAACCTTGTCTGCAGTCCAGTGCTTATCCCACAGTGCCATAAAAAACCTGTAAGTCAATTTATGTTTATGTGTTAAAAACTGATATGGCATCTTAAGAGATGTTACAAAAGGTATCTGTTAACATTTGGGACTTAAATGTCAGTTTGAACTGCAAGGTTGGTGGTTCAAACCCATCAGCCGCTCCTCAGAAACCCTAGACAGGGTAACTATGAGTCAAAGCCAACACTATGAGTTAAAAACAACAACAACAATGTTCATTTAAAAAGATTATTTTCAGTTTTTGTTCTTGAGAACATATACAGCAGAATTTAAGGAAAGAACACAGATTTTACACACAATTCAGTGACACTCATTACATGATTCTAATTGTACAACCTTTCTCACTGTTTTGTGAGTTGCTCCTCCCTTATTAACATAAGCTTACTGCCCCTCTAAGATCCTCCCCCCTTTTAAAGATTCTTATCTAGTCTTTTGAGCTGCTGTTGTCCGCTTGATCTCATATAGATAGAACATAACAAGAACATAATGCTTAAAGCAAACATTCTTTACCAGTAAAAATGAACTGTTATTTGGTTTAAAGATTTCGAGACATATTTCTGGCTTAAGGTTTATCTCAGAGCAATAGTTTCAGGGGTTCATCCAGCCTCCAAGGCTCCAGAAAGTCTGGAATCCAAGAGGATTTGAAATTCTGTTCTGCACTTTTGCCTTTTGATCAGGATTCTCCTGTAGAATATTTGATCAAAGTATTCACCTATCATCTAGTTCTTCTGGTCTCAT